TCTCAGCGAAGTGGCGCAGTGGGAGCGTGCAGGGCTCATAACCCTGAGGTCGTCGGATCGAAACCGACCTTCGCTACCGAGGGTTGCAGTCTCCGGACTGCCTCTCTTTTTGCCCATTTTTTGCTGCATTCTCATACGCTAACGGCCTGAAAATGGGGTAGGTAGGCATGCGGGATTGCCTAGGACCTCCTACCGTAGGCCGAGAAGGCCGAGGGATCCTACGACCAAAAAGTCTCGGCCTACGGTACGAGGTCCTAGGCAATCCCGTACGACGTCGTAGGCCCAACTACCCCATTTTCAGGCCGTTATCCTATTTTAATGCACGATGCAGCAAAAAGTGCAAAAAGATACTTATCTCCTTGGTTTGCTGATGCGTGTTTTATCGACTGGTGAAGTCATTATTCACCCGATGTGGGGCTCGAACCCACGACCACAAGGTTAAGAGCCTTGCGCTCTGCCGACTGAGCTAACCGGGCACAGCTGAACGTGATTTCAGAGATACAGGTTGTGCTCCTCAGACCGTACCCATTCCACGAATCCCTGGGAGTCACGTTACGTGGAATTGGAGCCATTTGTGTCAACTTGTGGCGTGATAAGTGGTGCTGTGTCTCCATCCGGTGCGGGTTTCGGCCTGTGGTGCTGGATCCAAGCTGCTTAATAATTATTTGGAGCGATTTCAGGCGCTGGGATCCTGCGCAAGCTGCAAATCTGAGGAATTTAGGAATCCTGCCCTAAAAAAAATAGTAATCCCAACCCTTAAAATTAAGGGGTGGGATCCTAATCCCACCCCTTAAAATTTCACCCCTTAAAAATGTCAGATCTGACATAAGCCTTTTAAGGATAGATGAGAAATTTCAGATCAAGGAGTTAAATGTCAGAACAAAAATGTCAGATTTTTGACCAGAATGACCAGAATCCCAGGATCCAGGAATTATTGCTTCAGCGCTCACGGGAAGGGAGAAGCCGAGGGCTGAGCGGGCAGGGGGTTCGTGCTCGGATCATCTGCTGCGCGCGGTCACCCACGCCCATCCCTGGGTGTGACCCGATGCCCTTTGTGCGCGGCTGCGCCCCCACCTGCCTTCCCTTGCCCAGAGTCTGCAAACCCCTCAACCCGCTTCCTCTGTGGGGGGTTCCAGTCGATTGAGGGTGATGCGGGTCTAGCCCACCCCCTGAGAATCATCAACAGAGCTGTCTCGGGCTGTCCTGTGCTTGGGGTGGTTCTGGGCGACTGTCTTCCATGCAAATGTGATGGTTCTTCCAGGTGCCGGATCTTGGTGATTTGGGAGGGGTGGTGGGGCGGGGTCCCTGTCTTTTGAGGGCGATGGAAGTGTTGCTCACCACCTGAGAATCATCACCAGAGCATTCGTGATCTATGTCGAGCTCGGGGTTGGTGGTTCAGCTGGGGATCCCGTTGTTGAAGGGTGAGGTGTGGATCCGATCCTGATACCAGGACTGAAACTTTCGAGGTGGGGGTTGTCAACGAGGAGCACCTGATAATCATCACCGGTGTCCGGCACGGTTCGTCTGCGGGCGGTCCACCTCTCTTAACAAAACAACGTGCTTTTCGAAGGGCCGCAGACGGCGCTGTGCGCTGTCGAGCGGGAGTCGCTGCTCTGCGCAGCTTCGCTCCCAGGTGTGTTCGTGCATTTTTCGCATGATCGCACCCAGGTGTGTTCCGGAAAACTGCGAGTATCAGCGCTTGCGTGCCCGAGGACTGCATTCAACACCCATTCCGTATGCACATGTGTATTGTTCGATCGTGCTTGGGGATAAGAGTGTCCCCAGAGCTCTGCGTCCCTGTTGGATGGTGCCCTACTTGCAGGGAGCGTTTCTGGTGCCAGAGAGCATAATGCGGCAGGCACCATGCACTTTCCAGCTAGATTAGGAACCCTCAGTAGGAGGTGGAGTTAGAATCCATCCAAAAGATGCTCGTATGAGCGGCCGACACGGGGTACAGTAAGTGGCACAATGCGTAGCATGTGCGGCGCTGACGCTGGTTGGTTGGCAAAAAATTACCAATCTCTCTAGATTAGGAACCCTCACCCTCCCCAGACACTCAACAGGATTCCACGGCACGGTTGCCCCCACCTTGGAGCTGGTTGTCCCCGCTTCCTGGGTTTGCACCAGCATTTTGCCTGCGTTTTTCAGCATTATCGCACCCAGGTTTGAACCGGGGTTCAGGGTCTCGGGTTCCCTAAACCCTAAACCCTCAACCTAAGCCCCAAATGCTTATCCCTACAACTGAAACCCCTAAACCCTACTTAACAAACCCTAAACCCTAAAACCTGAAAAACCTAAACCCTAAAACCTAAACCCTAAACCCTAAACCCCAAACCCTACACCCTACACCCTAAACCCTGAACCCTGAACCCTGAACCCTGACACAGTTACCCACACCGTGAAGGTGTCTACTCCAGCTTCCTGAGCTTGCACCAGCATTCTCCCCGCGTTTTTCAGCATTATCGCACCCAGGTTTGTACCGGGATTCCGGGTGTCGGGTTCCTTAAACCGTAAATCCTCAACCCCAAGCCTCCAACCCCGAACCCCAATCCCCAATCACCAAACCCTAAACCCCAAACCCTAAACACTGTATCCTAAACCCTAAACCCTAAACCCTCATCCC